TTTTCTAAGCAATTGGGGGCTGTGCTTGTGTGCAGCCTGCTGCTGCTCTGCCTGTTTCAGCTCTCTTCTGGTTTCGGGAGACGAGGAGGGATGAGAGCTTGTTGCGGCAGGAGGGAGAGAGATCTGTGACTCTTCTCCAGCCTGACTAATCTCTGCCTCTTGGCCTCCCACTCTCCAGCTTCAGCTTCTTCCTCTAATTCTGGACTTCTCTCTGCCACTAACTCTCCCAGCTCACTAAGCACTGTTACCTTTTCAGCTTCTGACACTTCCTCTTCCCAGTCTTCTCCCTCATCTGCCTCTGAGCACTCATTGTCATCCCATCACCAGTCCCTGGACTCAGCCTTCTCCCCTTGGTGGTTCACCAGTTGCTTCCTCCCAGCATTCCTCTGTGTCTAATTAGTCCATGACAGTGCTGAACTAGATGGACCAATTGGTCTGATCTGGTATAAGGCAGCTTCCAAGTTTCCTAAGATCAGTGCATTTCTTTATTTAAAGTATTTATTTGTTTGCTTTTATAAGAACATCTTATAAACTACTAACTCTCAAAGCAAAATACTATGTTGGTGTATAACAATATCAATTATACACCATAAAATTACAAAATCATAAAATGCATTTTTATGCTGTAAACTGCCCAGAGATCTTCGGAAGAAGGACAGTATGTAAATTTAATAAATAAAATAATATATCCTGGAGGGAAGGAGGGGTGCAAATGTGATAAATAAACACACGGGCAGTGGTAAAGATCATTTCAGCAATAACCAAGTAATAAAGAGCTTTTGAATAAAGTGCTATTTTAATGATGGCAGAAAAAAAATGATGGTGGAAGCCTCGAATCAGAACACTTCTATGTTTTGAAGCAAAGAAATAGCCCTTGTGTCAAGATAATAATTTTCTTTATAGCGTCAAAAGCTTTATATGTTAAAGAAAAAGAGAAGAAAGATGCCAGCAGCAGGCTTTCACTTTCTTCATTATATTTTAATCTATTCCAGTATTATAAATCCATGATTAGTAAGGGGGAGACAGGCTGGAAAGAAGCACCACAATGCCAAGGATGTCGGCTGTTTTTTTTGCGGGGGAGGGAGTGGGTGGGTCAAAGTCTACATGAGAGAAAAAGAAAGGAAATGGAAAGAAATAGGCAATGTGGTTTGGGAGGGCCATAGCCTAACAGGTCAGTCCCCGGCCTCTCTAGGAATGTCCCTTGCCTGGAATTCTGGAGGGTCCCTGGTAGAATTATAATGGGTCTGACCCATTATAATGCAGCTTCCTAAGTTCCTGGCCCATTTTGATTGTGGCTTCTCAGCCTGAGGTTTTAATCCTTACGCAGGCAAAAGCCCACAATCCTAGCTTCTGGTTCTCAGAAAGGGTAAACAAACACAGGGGTAAAGAAGATTTAAAACATGTAAACCTAAAACCTGGTGCATGTTTATCAGCCAGAGTAAAGAAAGACAAGCATGTCTTCTTAACTGTCCCAAAATAACTTTCTCCATACTTTCTCAGTATTTTTGGGAAAGGGTCCATGCCAGATGCTAGATGAAGTTATTTCTAAACCATCCTATTATTGCCCGATTTTTGAGTTTTGTCCTCCTTTTGCAGCCACCAAGAAACCCTTTGTCACACATTCCTTCCAGTGAAGAAATGCAATTTCCTTTGCAATCTTCCCCCACCTACCCCCATTCCTCTGTCACTAATTATATATGGAAGGGTTATCATAGCTCAGTGGCAGAACATCCACTTTGCGTGCAGAAGACCACCAGTTCAATCGTTGACACTTCCAGGTAGATCTGGGAGAGAACCCTGCCTGAAACCCTGGAAGGATACTGCCACTCGCTGTTGACAATACAGAGCTAGATAAACCAAAAGGTCTGCCTCAGGCAACTTCCTATGTTCCCATGTGCCCTGTTGCCTTCTGAGCAGGCCAGTTACTTTGGTAGGTTGGGTTTTTGAACCTTGCCTTACCTAGGCAGACAAAAAGAAGTATTTCTTCGCATAGTTCCAACTATGATATTCTCCGCAACAAGAGGTGGTGGTGGCCACAAACTTGGATGTCTTTAAAGTGGGTTAGGCGAACTCATGGAGTATAAGGCTGTCAATGACTGCTGCCCACTATGGCTTTATTCTACCTTCACCAGCAGAGGCAGTATGCCTCTGAATGCCAATTGCTGGGAACTACAAGTAGTTCCGGGACACAGGTGGCACTGTGGGTTAAACCACAGAGCCTAGGACTTGCCGATCAGAAGGTTGGTGGTTCGAATCCCCACGAGGGGGTGAGCTCCCATTGCCCGGTCTCTGCTCCTGCCCACCTAGCGGTTCAAAAGCACGTCTTAGTGCAAGTAGGTAAACGGCGTTTCCATGCGCTGCTCTGGTTCACCAGAAGCAGCTTAGTCATGCTGGCCACATGACCCGGAAGCTGTACGCCGGCTCCCTCGGCCAATAAAGCGAGATGAGCGCCGCAACCCCAGAGTCAGCTACAACTGGACCTAATGGTCAGGGGTCCCTTTACCTTTACCTTACAAGTAGTTAGTGGTTAGTGTTGCACTCATGTCCTGCTTGTGGGCTTCCCATAGACATGTGGTTGGGCTACTGTGAGAACAGGATGCGGAGCAAGATGAGCCTTTGACCTCATCCAACAGGGCTGTTCTTAGGTTAATACAGATTTTTACTTTTTTGTTTACAGCTAGCTGTTCCCTGGCTTGCTCAAGCATCTGGTTTCTGACAAGTGCAATAAAATCCTGCCACTTTCCTTAAGTGTCTTCTTTAGTTATACCCTTCTGGTGTTTGGATATACTTTACAGTATTTTCCAGATCCAGGAATCTGCCATGAACTCCAGCCAAAATCAATTGTACACTATCTTATTACAGAATCCCCACCTCCACTGCCGTTTTTGCTACCGAAAGCAACATACTTTATTAAAAGAAAAATAGGAGGAGGAATAGGGAAGGTGGGAGAGGAGAAGAAGAAGAAGCATCTTTTCTTAAAGAGCTTATAAATGTTTTAATAGGAGAAATTTGTCAGTCAACGACCAAATGAAAGCCATAAATCTTTTAGTGGCGAATGTCCCTCATCTTTGGGGCTGCTGTTCAGCAAACATAAGGAAGTGGGACACACCCACAGCTTGCCACTTCGTTTCTGCTTGAAATGCTCAGTGAAATAAAAGCAACATCAAAGATGTTTCATTCCTAGTACTTCAACCAATTGATTTGGCTTCTCTTTTGAAGGAATAATTGACCCCAGCCAAGATGTAATTGAAAAAGATACCAGGAAAAGCTGGGTCAGAGTCAAGAGATGGGGAGGGCAGGGAAGAGAGAGGCAACTTGAAAAACAAGCCTAGCCTGAACCTTTGCAGCTTATGTTGGAAGAGATCTAAGGGAGAGTTCATACATATTCATGGGGAATGAGACATAATGGATCAAGCATCATCACAGCAGACAGCTGCTTCACACATGCATCTATCTTGCTTGATTTCTCTATGCTTAATAAGTGCCAGTTGAATGTGGGAACTGTTGTAATATCATGTGTTTGGGCTGATTAGAAAATTCCATCTCTGGTGCAGGGCTGGATCCATGCAGGAGGGGGAAGGGGCCACAGTTCAGTGGTAGAGCATCTTACTTGCATGCAGTAGTTCCCAGGTTCAGTCCCCATAATCCCCAGGAAGGGTAAGAGCTGCAGCTCATAATAAGTATCTACCTTGCGCTGTGGTCTAAACCATCAGACTTCTTGGGCTTGCTGATCAGAAGGTTGGCAGTTCGAATCCCCGCGACGGGGTAAGCTCCCGTTGCTCGGTCCCTGCTCCTGCCCACCTAGCAGTTCGAAAGCACGTCAAAGTCAAGTAGATAAATAGATACTGCTCCGGCGGGAAGGTAAACGGCGTTTCCGTGCACTGCTCTGGTTCGCCAGAAGCGGCTTAGTCATGCTGGCCACATGACCCGGAAAAACTGTCTGAGGACAAACGCCGGCTCCCTTGGCCAGTAAAGCGAGATGAGCGCCACAACCCCAGAGCCGTTCGCGACTGGACTTAACTGTCCAGAGGTCCTTTACCTTTACCTTTTACCTTGCATGTAGAAAATTCTAGGTTGAAAACCTGGCATTTGCAGATAGGGTGAGGAGAGAACCCTGTCTGCAGTCTTTGACAGCTGTTGTTAATCAGTGTAGACAATACAGAGCTAGATTTACCAACGGCCTGACTCAGCAGAAAGTAGCTTCATATGTTCCAGTGTTCCTAAAAAGTCTCCGTTAGGGCCTCCATCCTATGACAGTGTCCCCCAGCCACTGTTTCTGTTCCACTGCATATCATCTTTGCTAAAAGTGGCTTTATTTGTCCCACTGTCCATTGTGGCAAAATTATGTAACTTATGTAATTAGGTCATATAAATTATGTTGCCACTACATTATTCCACTCCCATTTGTTTCAATGCAAAGGAAATGCAATGCAAATGTAGCAGAGGGAGGAAGTCATCAGTTACATCTAAATTTTATGATACAGTTCTCCAACCATGTTTACAAGAATGCACATTTATGAGGAAACTGCATAAAACCATATAGAACATTGAAAATAACATACGAAAATGCATTATATTAGGGGAAGTTGCTTGCCAAAATGTGTACATTAGTCAAAACTGCATATAAAAATGCCTTCGTTGGGAGAAATGTGCATTAAAGTGCTGGTGAATTTTCATGAGGGTTTAAAAATGAAACAAAACCTGTAAATCTTTGCAAAACATGGAGAACTGAGTTTAAGATTGGGGGAAATGAGAAACAGAGAGAACCAAAACTGATAGACTCTTCCCTCCCCAGTCCTCACACATTCCTTTTGAAAGCCTGAAGAGGGCTTAAGAGTGTCACTTTGTAAAGAATGAATCAATATTATCTTGGTGCCAGACAGAATTATGCCATGGACTAGAATTGTAATAGTACAGTTGCAAAGTGTGAAGAATTCCACCCCTGGGTTTTCCCATTGTCAAGCTTCTCTCTCTTTCCCCCACCATTCTCTTGCCTTTAGTCTCCAGCAGACCAGTGCAAGAAAATCCATGCAGGGGATGAAGTGATCCAGGTCAACCATCAAACTGTGGTGAGTACTTTTCCAATTAATCCGAGTGTCTCTATTCATCTCCACCTGGCTGCATTGTTCACCACCTTTCAGATATTTCTGACAGCTCCCATCAGTCCCAACCATCACAGCCAACTGCACCGTCTGGGACTGGTGGGCATTGTACTCCAAAACACCTGGAGGGCACTAGGTTGGTGAAGGCTGGTATAAAGATCCCCCCCTTGTTAGCAACACCAGCTTATTGCAAATGCTTATTTAGAGTTGCTATCCTTAGGCACAATTTCTGCTGTGAATTTGTCCTGACGTTGCTGGGGGAAAGTTTGAAATATATTGATTTGTCTTTTTTGCCAAAAGGAATGCATACTCAGGCTTGATTCGGAACAAAGGCTCTTGGCAGAGGGAGGGGATAAAGCCTTTAATGTTTTAATGTAAGCAGGAAGTGCCAGGTAAGAGTATCTTTCACTGTGAGCCATTACCAACTAATGGTAACCCCTTCTGGGTCTGGGACCATAGCTCAGCGCTTTGCAGGCAGAAGTTCCCAGCATTTCCATTTAAAGTGACAAGGAAGCAGGCAATGTGAAAAGTCTTTTCCATTTGGGGAAGGGGGCCATAGCTCATTGGTAGGGCAATTACTGGTTGGACTGGGGAAGACTCTCTGTCTGAAACATGGTGGAGCTGCTGCCAGTCTGTGTAGGCAGTCCTGAGCTAGATGGACCAGAGGTCTGGCTCAGCGGAAGGCAGCTTTTTATATACCTATATACCTATATTGCAAATGGTCTCACCTGGTGTAAGGCAGCTCTCTGCTTTCCTGATATCTATGGAGCAAGGTATGTTGCTCTAGGGTTACAGAATCAAAGGGAGGCGCATCCCGGAGTGTGTCAAGGGGCCAAGGGCCAGTGAGAGGCTACACCCCAACCTATGGTAGGGGGGAGACTAACCTGTCCCAATCTGTCGTCCCAAGAATGAGCAGCTGTAGGGAGCTTGCTTCCCCCCACCCATCTCCCTTCATGAAAGAACACTCTACTCTAACCAGCTGTTACTGGAAGGGAGGCATGTTCTGGCCTGTGCCACCAGCCATGTGACTCTTGGCCACAAATAGGCTGACCCCCTGCCTCCCAAGAAGTGCATCATGGAAAAAGCCATATCCATTGCATAACAAAGGACCAGCTGCTCCAGTGCTTGCATGCCTTTCTCCTCCACGGTTCTTTTCCCTTTTACGTCACGTCCATTACATTGTGAGCCTGCAGGCAGAGACTGTCTTCCCTTTTGTACCATGCTAACAAAATGGTGAGCAGTTTAGAGGTGTTTAATAATACGATTGTTGCGATTGCACTGTTTACTGCCATATAATCCTGCCTGATAATTAAGATCTTCCTTGGAGTCCCTTCTCTGCATTCCCCTGTCTTCAGATAAGACTTGTAGAAGTGACTGGAACAGGGCCTTTTATGTGGTGGTGCCCTGCTTCTAGAACTCCCCAAACAACAATATTTTCCTGGTACACCTCTTGGTAAATTTTGGTGGATTTTCATGTTTGCCCACGCTGTTGTCTTTGGTGCTATTGTATATTTAAATCTGGTTATTACTTATTTTATACTCTGAGATATATTTTTCTATTTTGGTGATTTGGATTATTGTCTCTATGATTTTTTTAAAAAATCTTTGTTTTACAAGCCACCTGTGTTGAGCAATAATGTTTGAAGAAATACAAACAATAAGCACATATTAAAACTAAACTGAAGTTGAATTTGTCAGGGCAGATTTGGTTTTGAATAACCTCTGCTTATGGGATCTCAACTTGGCCCTGGATGGTACAAGAAGTGCCAACTAGAGGTGTGGTATTTTCTGAACAGCTCCGTGCTGCTGTTATCTGCAGGGATTTTTTCTAATTTTCATCTTGTTCCTTGATCTCAATGAGAAGTGAGGTATTATTATTTTTTACCAGTTTCACTAAAAATGTAAGCAATTCTTACATAATATGTACAGCATTATATACTGTAAAAAGTGTGTTATTATGCGCACATACTCTCCAGGTTTCCTTAATTAACCAGCACATAAACAAATAAATACAGCAACATATATAACTATATGAAATTACCCATTAATACGATGTATTAATACTTTGCAGAAATATAATACAGCGTAGAGCTTGACTCTTCCATACATATTAATGTATATGTTAATGTATTTTATATGCAGAATGCACATGATATATATTTTTCTGTGTGTAATTTTGCATTGCTCACACAGAATCAGGCAAGTGTGGCTTGGGTGTAAAGTGTGCTCTCTGCATAAGAGGCAGTCTAGTGTGGGCTAGGCTTAGCCAGGTTAGAACTGCCATATTATATGTATAGGCCACTTTAAAACAAATTTCTCCTCCACCCGTAGTGCTGTCAACATGCATGAAAAGGGACTCAATCCTCTTTAGGAAGCATTGCAAGACAGATACCCATGCAGGCTGTTTGGAAGCCTAGTTCAGTTTTCTAAGAATCTGAGGGTGGCTCTGCTGTATTACATTAGGGTTTCATGCTGTCCAGCAAACTGTGGCCAACAAGGAGCAGCCATTTGCTTCTGGAAGCTCATGAGCAAGTCATAAAGGCTACCTCTGTTGTTTAATGACATCTACTACAAAGGGGTGTGCTGCCCCCATATGTGGGCATTGTTAAGATCATCCACAGAAACCTTCTTGTTAGTTCCGAATCCATATTTGGCTGGGACAAAGAGGAAGGGAATTTTCTTTGGCCTCACCCAGTATTTGATACTCTTCCTTAGAGCAGTTTGCCTGGGCCCTTCTGTATTTGCCTTCCATCACAATGCAACCTTCTTTGGCTTTTAGGGGCTGGTTCTTTATTTTCTCTTTTCAATTGCTTGCCTACCATCATAATTATGCACAATCCCTCTTTTTTACCCTGACTTCTCTTAATGTTTTATGACGCTTTTGACTGCTGGATTTCATTGTTGTTCTTTCATGTCTGTACAGGGCTGATTGTATTGTGTTGTATGTTGCAAAGTTTGTTTGTAAGATTCCTTGAACTATGGCGAAAGGTGGATCTTAAATGTTTGCTTGCTTGCTTCAGTTTGTGTCTCACCTAATACAGATATTCTCTAGGCTAGTAGTCCTCAACCCATCTTTAACCAAAACATACGTTTGGGAACCAATTTCTTTGTTACTGTTATTAATAATAATACTTGCATACTGTTATTAATAATACTTGTACACTGCTTTATATTTCAGTAAATGCATATGTGGTTTACATATTGTAATAGTTCTAGGGGTTGCTCGTGTGTAAGCCTGTGCCAACACCTGGCTGGGTTGCCTGAGTGAACCTTTCCTGTCTGGACAGCCACTCACCCGTGGCTGTCTCAGTCGCTGGCAGAATCCTTCAGTGGGCGTTTCTTAAACTTCTTCCAGCAAAGAAGTTCTTTGACGCCCAGTCTCCTCCTACTCTCCCTGCGCGGAAGCCTTCTGCGCAAGGAGGGCGTAGGCAGCGGAGGACCCTTCCTCTCCCCGCTGGTCCCCGGCAAGGAGTCATGTGACCGCCTCTCTGATTCCCCCATCTGCCCCCCTTCTCCACTGGAGCTAAGCTGATTCCCTTCCCCAGAAGATGGGCTGCCTCTCCCAATCCCGGGACGCTCTCTGGGATCCCTCTGGAGCTTGCTCTCTCCCTCCGGCACTGATGGCAGTTCCCTGACACATATATCAACCAAAATCAATATATCTGTGGTAGTGCTTCAATCCCATAAATCATAAATGTACAGGGAGATGCAGTCAGACAAATTCCATCAACCCATCAAATAGTTCAAATGCACACATTTGGTTATAATGGCTAATAGCTATTTGATTGATCTACCCCACATGAGTTGTTAGGGGTGGGCACTGAAAAACAAACCCACTATCTCATAGTGTTGTCTCACAACATGGCTGTAGGACATGTTTTGGTGTCATCATGTTGGGGAATCCAGCTGAGAAGATCTTCCCAACCTAATGGGTTAACAAGTAAGATAGGGACCAGCCACTATGCAAAAATGTCTGCATGAAAAGGGAGTTAATCCTCTTTTGGAAACATTGCAATACAGATAATCCATGCAGACTTTTTGGAAGCCACATTTAGTTTTCTAAACCGACTGTACATTTCTAACATTGCTTGTATGTAATGTGTGGAATACGCATATGTCATATTCCATAGACTATATAGAATATACCTGTGTATATTCTATAGACTATATACAAGCAATGCTAGAAGGAATGTGGAGGAACAGAAATACAACATTCCCAGAAAGAAAGAAACAAAATAACTAAGGCAAAAGGGATACTGCAGAGCTGGAAAGGTTCAGAAAAGGACATGTTAAATGATTGAGGGGTTGAAGCAACTCTCTTCCGAGAAAAGTGGCAACGTTTAGGGGCTTCTTCATTTAGGAAAACGTGGGGGCATGAAAGAGATAAAAGTGTACATTGTGTGAAGAAAGTGGAAGGGGAAAAGGCTTTTCTTCCTATCTCATAACAGTAGAGCTTGGGGACATGCAAGCAGAATGCTGGAAGATTCGGGACAGATAAAAGAAAGTGCATTGTACATGGCATATAGTTAAACTGTGAAATTAGCTCCCACAGGAGGCAGTGATGGCCACCCACTTGGATGGCTTTGAAATATTAGATTCATGGAGGTAAAGCCTAGTAAACACAACGGCTATGTCCTCTGAATACAGGTTGTTGGGAATTGCAGGTGAAAAGAGTGCTATTGCATGCAGGTCCTGCTCATGGGCTCACTAAGGGCATCTGGTTGGCCAATGAGAACAGAGTACTGGGCTTAGGCCTTTGTCCCGATACTGCTGGGATTTTCTTACATACTTAAAGTGTTTTGTTTTGTTTTTTAAGTCTTGAATCACACCACAGCCATATGTGTGCTGGGATACAAGTTACTTTGCATCTGAAACTTCCAGTTTGGGGTTTCTTACCTTATCTTTTCTGTTGTGACCCAGCAGACTTAATTTAGCCTCCAAACTGTTCTGCCCTTTAAATTAAGGAG